TTTTTAGTTATATAGTAGTATGACTATTGTTTATCTTAAGTGGTCTTTCATTAGAAGTCCCCCCACGACTAAGAATTCAAATTGCTCACCCCAATTCCACCCCCCCCCCCTTCCCCATTTCCATTTCTTCATTATGGGGTTTATATTAAAATGTCCACGTGGTCGTCCAAATTTGCATTAATATATGAAAACACTTTACGTCGGTTGATCTGGGCATTTTCAAGAAACGTCTAGCATAATTTTAATGAATGGTACTACGGTGTGTTGCTTGTGACCCACAGATGAAGGTAAAACTACRMGTGGAGTAAGACAAGGTAAGTATCTTTTTTTCTTTATATCAATCGCCTAKTCCTTCMGGAAGCAAAGAARCGACGGAAAAGCGATAGTTTCGGGGAGAGCTTAAATACGAATACGATTCTAAAGTAGGAATATGTAAGGAGAAAAAGAAAATAAAGTATATGACTGCCACAGATCTTTCTGGGCAAGGAAGTATGTGCTTAGAATTCAAAACATTGGTAATATAGTTGAAGGTATTAGATTGAATATTTAGTTACCATTCGAGTATCGAAACCAATAACTGTTAGAGCATAGTTAATAGAGGGACTATGGTTAGAGCAAATATATTAGGATTTAGTTCCCCAGCCCATGGTTTGTATTAGCTGTTCTTTTGATCAAAGGGAAAAATGTCAACAACTTATCARCTGTAGTACAGCAGATCGACCATTTATTTGCAGGGCAATGATATGACATGGTTAGTAAGGAAAACATTTCTAAAATGTAAAAATATAAGATTAGAAAGGAATAGTTGTCAGTAAATCGAGAACCAAAATTCCTATTTTTAATATTATTTTATTTTTCAATGTCTCTAAATATTCTAAGTCTTTTAGAACACAATATTTAATTAAATTTATAATTCATATATAGTTGCATCTAAAGGGAGTTGTTTTTGAAGCAAGGTATAGGTAATGTATATATGTAGAGCATGAGTATTAGTTGTGTAGGTTTAGCTTGAAAGTTATAAAATTGTAGCTACATTAAAATATCGCTATGTAATAATTTCTGTGTATTAAAATCGACATATTTGAGTGAACGAAAAGAGGTACAGACAACTGATATAATGTATGTACAAGCATGCAAATCATGACGTACAATATATGATATTATTCAGTTGATGAATCTTTTGGATAACAGCATGGAATTATCCACTAGATAATGATTTATCTGTCGGTTAGTGCTAGTAGATTAGGCTACCATAATGTACTAATTAATTATATCTAGAGTTATAATAATATAAACTAAATTAGTGCGGTAATCTTCTGACTACGCTAGGTGTGGTAGCTAATGCGCTGTTCTTCGTACTTCTTACTTCATAAGGTCATTCTTAACGTATTTTCTAAGAAACTAAAATAAGGTCACCTCACTTTCACAAAGATATTATATAGGAATAGTAGTAATAGTAATTCATAGTAATACTGTTCAAGTCGTTTACCACTCGACACTGATTTCCAGAGGCTCAAGTCGATAAGTGTTTTGATATATACCAAGTTTCATTTCTAAAAAAGAACGTAGACGTAAGTAAAAAAAATATTCAGTTTCGGCATTCGAATTCACTTTCATACCGCAGACATCTGTCAAACATATGAATACATAATTAGTCGTAATACAATACTCCCTTTTTGAGCTCTCTTTTGCTCAAGGATAACCACGATGTTGTGTAGGATATTCGTGTATTGACGGGAACGTCCTTAAAATTTAATATTGGTTGAGAAGTTGTGCGTTCTATACTTTAACATAGGTATTTGTGAAATTTCTTATACGCTAAAGACTATAATGCAAAACCGGAAATTAATTAAGCAACACAGCAGTATAGCATATATATATGACATGCTCATGGATATGAGCGCTATATATAAATAAATTATTATTATTATTATTATTATTATTATTATTATTATTATCATTATTATTATTATATTTATTATTATTATATTTATTATTATTAGTAGTAGTAATAGTAGTAGCTGCTGCTACTGCTACTACTACTACTATTATCATAGAAGTGAGTTACCTTCGCGACTTCCTCTTTCGCCTGATCAGTGTCCATATCTCCCCTGTGAGGAGTCTGCTTAAAAACCAAGTAGGAAGAGAGCAGCACACTAATATTGTTGGAGGTTGGAGCTTTTCCCTTTCCCTTGCCTTTAATTACCTTTAATTACCAGTGGAGATACGTCCGAGACGTCGGACATGTCTGCCTCATCCTCTTCATCAGCGCTGTCGTTATCTGTATAGTCCTCAGGTTCAAATTCTGAGACAGAGTCAGAGAATGACTCAATCTCAGAGTCTGTCTCTGGAATCGAGGTAACTACAGCATGGCTGAAAAGGAGAGAATCAGTGGTCATCAATCTTGTTACCTTAACAAGTTATTATGCCATTATATGCGTACCTTTTCTCGTGACCTTTGACATTGGCAAGTGGCACTTCTGATTCATCCGATTGTGAGTCAGTGACTCGACCAGTATTGAATGAGGTATCCACAGTATGGCTGAAAGGTAGAGAAACAGTGGTCATAAAACTTGTTTGCATGACAAGTTCTTATGCCATAATATGCGTACCTTTTCTCGTGGGGCAGGTTCTTCTTCTGACTCATCAGATTGTGATTCATGGATTGAAGAAGGATGGATGGAGGTATGGCTGAAAGGGAGAGAAACAGTGGTCATCCAAATTGTTTGCTTAACAAGTTCTAATGCCATAATATGCGTACCTTTTCTNTACATTTCCCGCGCGAAATTTGTGTAATTTAATCAAACGATAAATCAGGTTTCTTTTCTTCATCATTTACAATTTATCTGACTGAAAAAATATAACTCCTAAAGCCAAGGCCTTTTCCGGTTTCTCAATCTTCTTGATAATTCATACCTCCAACAACGAATCAGAACATCGTTTTATAGGAAAAATGGTTTGACTGATAACGGGTACGTCGTATATTCGTTATACATATGAATGATAATATGGAACAATATGAAAAAAACGGGGGTTGCCGATTGTTTTAATTTCCGAAAATTACCCAACAAAAACAAAATTCCCTTTGTTTTATTCAGTAGTTTTCGGAAGACATTGTTTATATTTCTGTGAGTAGTTTTCTTGTTTAGTTGGTGGTTATAATTGGAAAGAAAGACACACAATAATACAATAACATTCAACAACATTCAAGTTGGTTTGTTGGTTACGTTATGACTTCAAAAAACACGCAGCCATATTGAATTTCAAGGGTTAATATTCTTATGAAAATAAACATGGCTGACGCGTGAGGAAGACGCGTTAATATCTGAGACCAGAATTGCAGTGTACTATATTTTTAAATTCTAAATCAAAAGTCGACTGAAAGCAGAACAGAAATAGACAGACTACATTACTGAAAACTCCACATGGACCTATCAACGTTCATCTTGAAGCCTGTTATGGTAAGAATCGATATATTGGTGTCAGTGCTATTCAGCCAACGAGCGACAAAGTCCGCCGCGCTCCAGTATAGATATACGCAGAGGGCTTGCGAAAGTATAAGAATAAACATATTCAGAAGTCATGGTGTTTCATAACATGTCATAAGAGAAAGCTATATGAATTAGACGAGCATTCGTAGAAGTCAAATGAGAAAAAATGAAGCTTTGAGCCCGAGAGTAGTAAAGGACGAAAGGAAATCATACTCAAAAATTCAGATTTTTTTTGGCATTCAAGCATTCATTTGGCATTCAAGCACAAATTATTCTTGCGGTGTAACCATATGACTCACGCTCCCTTGAGATATATATAGTAATGAAACAGCGTCAAGTTAGTTGATCTAGCAAGGGAAGATAATGAGGAAACATGGCAGTATGACGCAACATCATCTCAACATTGCATAGTATTCACAGATAATAGTGCGTAGTAAAGCTAGTATCCCTTCTAGCCCCGGCGACAAGATCAGCTGCTCCATAGGATTATAACACAATAAGCTGCTTGTGAATAAAGAAGTAGATTTTCATTTATTGTTATCGTAAACCAAGAACGTCCAAACGCTTAAACTTGGTTTCCTGTAATATGCACAGGCTCAGAGCTGAACTACTTGTTATTTAATGTTATAAGGGTAGTAACGTTCATAGTGTATTTCCCATGAAAATGGTTGGCGATTTTCGTTTTGAAGCCTCTTAAAGCGGTAACAGACGAAAAAATGTGGCTTTGAAAACGTCGACGCTACATTCACATCGGTATGTCTGTTTTTCGCATGCGCAGATGATAAGTCTTGATCGTTTCTGTATGGAAAAGCGCGTGTGAAACTATAGATATGGATGCATTAGTGTCGTCCGAGCTTGAACGGAAAATTCRTATCTGCATAATTTTTTGTTTGGCGATTTTCCCGCTGAAAAACAATAACTCTTAAGCCTGTCAGACATTGTCATGGGAGACAAGGGCATATTGATGAAATTACCCTGCGATTCAGGTTTGTTTAAGACGTGGCCAAAGAAGTGAAAGTATATCACTCAGAAAATATTCATTTACTCACCGAAATAAGGCAAATTTTTCAGCAAATTCATTTTTAAGATATTACTAAGCTCGTCTTTATTGTGGTCTTGACTGAGGCAATATTATTCTGTCTGATAAAGTAACTGTCGCGTGCGTAACATATATTACTATACAAGAAATCTCTGTATCATGTGCTTCGATGGTCTCTTGGGATAATGCTTACAAGACCCTGGTTACTTTTGCGCAACATTTGCATGTTGTAGGTAACCGTACTCACAAGAAAAAAAGGCGAGATGCGCAGCTTTAGACTGCTTTGCAACAGCAGGCAACCCACTGATAACTATTGTACAAACTAAGATCGGTCTACCCTTCCTTTAGTAGCCTTTTTCCCTCGAAAGCGACCAACTACCGCAATCGACTACTTTCTTAACTCATGCATTAGAAAATAAAAGTATTATTTGGTTTCCTTATTTTAATCTTGTACTTTCGTGAGTTAAACAAACCGCTTGATAACGATACTCACAGGTTACAGCTTTTTACTTTTTTACTTATAATGTAACAGCTTGCCTCCACTCCCCCTCCCCCAACATGTCAAACTAGCTCTCTTTCAGTTTTAATCTAAAAACAACGAAAGCAATCAAGATGATATGAGCCTCATGTTACAGGTTAGAAAAGGTTTACGTTTTTTTGTGATTTTTTTCTTCTTTTTATTTCTCTTCGCTTGATAAGAGATTATACCTGTCAATTTATCAGCCTAAGGTAATTAAGATATCAAAGTAGTTATATTTGAATCCCTTCCATTCCCGCTGAGAAACAATAGGGTGGAAACATTGTTTTGCCTTGATTTAACCAGTATTTAAGTTTAGTAGACGTCGAATAACGAAATCTTACGTATATGATTCTGTCAAACGCACCGCTAAAATTTCAATGACTTGACTCCATAAATCGCCAAATATTTTCTGGTAAAAAAAGGAACAGACGAGTTGCTTTTAACCTTTTTAACATCCCTTCATGAGCTTGAATGATAATAATGCACCCATAGTTCAAGGCCTAGGAAAGCGTCGAGAAAAAGCTAGGACATTTTTGGCGCGTCAAGGGACATAAAGAAATACAACGGTATATTAACAAATGTGGCGAGGGGGAAGAAGAAGAAGAAGAAGAAGAAGAAGAAGAAGAAGAAGAAGAAGAAGAAGAAAATAATCTTTAATCTAAATGTTCTAGTTACATATGCTTGTAATTCTGTTATTAAGTTCCCCAACGATCTTTTGAGGAATTCGGTTCTCTACTGGAGAAGTGGGTTAGAGATCCTCATCCTCTTTTATTCCAGGAGCTATTGTCTTATCTTTATCATGTCTATCAAAAGTAGTTAACATTCTATGGAATTCCTGGAAAATGATTATCATATAATTTAATTAACCCTCGGACGGACTGACGGACTGACGGACTGACGGACTGACGGACTGACTGATTACATCTATTGCAAAAAACGTTGTCGGTCGGAGATCTGAAATCTCAGGCCGAGTGGAATTGTTTTAACCAAAAATCAGCAGGTGAAAAGCCTTCTTCATTATTTATTGAATATGGGATTTTGAATTTAACTGAGGTCGATCAGAATGAGGAGAATCAATTTTTCCTTTGTCCCAATCTAATTATTGGTCACAACTTTGTGTAAGTAGTTAAACCAAGTTTAAATTCCCGCGATCTCAAATTGTTTTTAAATTGATTTTTCCCATTAGATTATTGTATGAGATTTCCCTAAATTTAAATGCCATTTTCAAGCACATGCTTCTAAATAAGAGATACAAATACTTTCKGATGTCCGCTAAAAACAAAGTTTATGTATATATATATATACAGGCATTTGCAAAAATTATGGCCGCTTCCATATATATGTACAAGTATATCAAAAAAATATCAAAAAGTATGGGATATCATCCGTGATATCTTTTTCGAGTTGTCTATCACTAGGGCTTTCTGAAAAAAAATATCAAGAAAGATATCACGCCGTGTCTGATCTACTTTTGATCTACTTGTATATATATTTGAAACGGCCATAATTTTTTGCAAATGGCTGTATATATATATATACATATATATATATATATATATATATATATATATATATATATATATATATATAAAGAATGAATTGGTATTTGAATAAGATTTCGGTATCTCTGCTGTTTAAAATTTCTTTGATTCTTTTTCCTTCCTTGTAAAGTTATTATAACATTTTTTTAATGCTGGAATACCTGTGAAATTATAATTATGATAATAATGAAAAAAATTACAGGATCGGAAAAAAATAATACTGACATTTTATTAGCACCTAGCACTCTGCCATACTGAGCCATAATGATTCCATAATGAGCGTTATTCAAGCAGAATAGGGGAATTTTTGAGTTGGCGGTTGACATAAAAATATTAACCAGGGAAGACAATCCATCCAGAAAAAGAAATCTAGACTACCTTTTCTCGTCAATAATGGTACCTGAAAGTGTCATTGGACTACCTGCTCATAGATTCAAATGTCAAAATTTCAGATTTTTTTYTTCTTCTTCTTGGTTTTCTAGAAACCCACAGCTACTTAAAACTTAAAAATGAATTATCATACGTAAGACCTGGTTTGGCTCTAGGCATGTGTCCCTCCTCTGGTCTTATAGCCAAAAAATAGGTTTCAGTTTTTCGGTTCAAATTTAATCTCTGTTTAAACCACTTTTTACAATTAGCCAAAACGTTTGCAAAAATTAGGCAACAAACCTTTAACAACGTGAAGTCACACTTGGACGCAACTGCAAACCATCCTTATAATGATACAAYATTATTCAAAGTAGAAACTTCCTATGGATATGGTCAAAAGCGCTTTACAATTAGTTATAAATGAGAAGTGGTTAGTATGAGGTGTAGGCACCGGGGGTAGTGTCTGCCAGGGATTTTTTCAGTGGTTCTTTTATTCCCTCCGATATGTTGGTTCGTAAATTATGAAGTGTAGAGAGACGGGACCGCCATTTAAAGTGGTCATCCAAGCCACTTGAAGTCTAACCATTTGCAGATGTAATTACAAAGGCAGCACTCTCTCCTCAGTTGTCGTAAGACCCCGAGTGTTGGTCCGACCTGGACTAGATGCACGATCTCCCGCACGAAAGTCCGATGCTCAACCAACTGAGCCTACCGTTTGGCGGTGATACCAAGAGAAAATGAACTAAGGCGAGGAATCTCTTGTGTTGATCGTTAACCATACAGGCATCGTTTTGATGTTGCTTTTAGAATCACATTTGTCTTCGTTTATTTTTCTGCCAGCGCTCTAAGCTGTTTGCTCACCTATTTTGAAAAAGACATAAAATAACTGCTATAAATCTCGCGTTCTGATTGGTTGGGAGCGCGTGCTTTAGGAGAGCACACAGCACGCGCGTGCACTTTCAGTTTCGTCATTCATGTAATTTGTATTTTATAAAAGAAATAAGAAACTTGCTTGCTGTGCTGTGTGCAGTTATAAAGCACTTGAGGATTGACTGAACACTTGACCTAATACCTCTCTCGTGTTCTGCCAACCCCMGCGTGCTATATAACTGCACACAGCACGCGCGCGCGTTTTCTATTTCTTCAAGAGAACATGATCAAACATGAAGAGTTCTCATGATTGGGCAAGGAGATTCCTTCGAATTCTCTTAGTTCATTTTCTCTTGTTGATATTCTATCAACAGTATCTCAGTTTTATCTTTTTTTAGGATAAAGAAGATGAACGGTTTTATGCTGACCTTCCGCCTTATCTTTCCTTTGATCGGTCTTCAAATGTGTATTAAGTTTTCAGGTAAGGTTAGTAGATATGAAGTACCAATTCTGCATCAAGTGGATCGTGGATCAGGGTGGATCGTGGATATAATTTATTTTAATTGAAGATAAAGAGACTTATTAATTGTTGAGTGATTAGTCTTCAAGCATGCTTTATTATTCATCATATACTGTACAAACAAAGTATGTGGAATACAGTAAACACAAGCCATATGTTTTTTTCTTCTGTTATCAATAAATTTTGATCTCAGCTAGCTTAGAATTTTTCCCACTTGGGTATTGACTTTGCAACCGCTCTCAATCGTTCTGATCGTCGTGAAGGTTTTAAGATTTTACCAAGATATTTATCTGAATCTTGATAGCTAATCCACTTCACAGATTTTTCTTTACTTGACGGAGGAGTTGGTAGGAAATCAGGTGGAGGTGGCAGAGATTGTGTTTTGGGAGTGCTAAACGAGGCAATTGAAGAGGGTTGATCAAGACTAGTTGGGGTTCTTAATGGAGTGGAAGGAACCTCCGGTGAAGCTGAAGCTCTCGCTYTACTGAGTTCCAGAGCAGGAGTCCCAATTATTGAGGCCAGCCGCTCTAGGAACGAAGGCGTTTTAGTTTTGGGTGTGGTGTAGCCGCTATCGGTGAGATTTGTTGAAGTAACATTTTCTGGGGATGTTAGACTAGTGGGGAGACTGGGACTTGTCAATGGTGGTACCTGTGGTGATTGCACCATTTCTAGCATTGAGCTGTGGGGCGAACCACTTTGAATTTGCTGTTGTAGATTAAGGTATCGATCGTATGGCTGCGAATTTTTTTTTGATTTTTAGTTCCGCAGGGGTATTGGAATCCCTGAGAATGCTAGTCATTTGCTCCTCTAAATTCTGCATTGTTTTTAATATAGGCAATTGTAAATAGCTTTGACGTTCGAAATAGTTAGCCATAGATTGCGTGACATCTAACTGTCCACCACCAAGTTGTGATATTGCTGCTTTTGACAGCTTCGTCTGTAAAGCAGGCAGATCATTGGGAAGAACATTCGTCCGAAGCCTGCATTCTTCTGGTGTATTTCGTTTGAGATCCACGAAAAGATATCCATAAGGTCTTTGAACAGCGGCTTCATACTTTTGAATGAACTGTTCTGKTTTTCCTGGGTACATTTGTTTTCCCAAAGTCATCATTTGTAGTTTATCTCTTGGGATTTTAAAAAGAACAAGGTACGCAGCATTCAGACTTAAGGTGCGCATAATTTTTCCTTGAAAGTAAAGATTTTGCATCAGGAAAATAACACTGAGGTTGCGATGATGAGATCCTTTGGTAAATAAATTCATGATTCGTTTGTCGTTGGATGTCTCTATCATTTGATCGTCAATTACAATCACATTATTGATTTTGGGGTCGAAATAACCATCCTCGTCAATATCGTGGGGTATGCCTTTGACGAACTCGATCCCGCGAATGGTTGCTAACACTTGATCGTAGGCTGGTTGCCATTGTGCGTAACTCCATACGATACGCTGTGGTGGTGGACTTATGACTATTGTTGCATGTTCAAGCAAATTCTGAACCCAAACTGTTTTTTCAGATCCAGTCATTCCAGCTACCAGACCCAGTGAACGGATGCAGCAGTTGAAATCTGGCACAATGATCTGTTTCGTCATTCCACATAAGTGGSATGGTGACTGGTAACTCTTGGCTGACATTTTCCTGACTATTTTTTCCATGCAGTAGTAGAGTTCGCTGCTGACCCATGATTTTGTGAACACGACTTAAATGGCTTGACTTGCCGCAAATAGGACACAACCGCCCCATTACGAGTCTAAATGAGAATGAGCAAGTATTTTTGAAGCTGATGCTATTTATGATTACTTACAAGGCTGTTAAAAATACTATTATAGGCTCGTATAGGCTCGTAGGATCGGCTCGGCTAGGCTCGTAGGCTCGGCTCGTATAGGCTCGTAGGCTCGGCTCGGTTCGGCTCGTAGGATCGTATAAGCTCGTAGGCTCAGCTAGGCTAGGCTCGTATGCTCGTATAAGCTCGTAGGCTCGGCTCGGCTCGGCTCGGCTCGGCTCGTAGGCTCGTATAAGCTCGGCTCGGTTCGGCTCGGCTCGGCTCGTATAGGCTCGTATAGGTTCGTATAGGCTCGACTCGGCTCGTATAGACTCGGCTCGGCTCTTATAGGCTCGTATAGGCTCATTGGCGTAATGCGTAATGGTCATTTGCGATAAATAGGCAGAATCCTATATGCACAACTTTCATTTCTATGCATCTCTAAAGGAGTAAACATGAGTCGATTGCTCCTTGATAATTTTGGCTATTTGCATCTTTTAGCCCATTGCCCCGAACGACAGAGGAAGGCTTTGCTTGCAATTTCCAGCCCCGAACAAATTCATGTAATTTGTGAAGTATGTCATAATTTGTTACAAGGAACAATTCCCATATCAGAATGGCAAAAGGAAAGATCGAGACCGCACAAGGATGATATAAGAGAGTTAGCTCATGGATCAATACCATTTAAAGCGAAGAAAAAAATTCTGATTCAAAAAGGCGAGGGCTTGGTGGGGGAGGTCTTGCCTCCTCTAATGAGCGCTCTGAGTCTTTTACTGCTATAAAAAAAAACCCAGCCAATTCCCAAGAACTTCATTTTACTAGTAGAGGTCATCATGAAGAGAAGAATAGTTTCAGAAGAAGAATCTACAGAATCCGAGCTGTGCGAAGATTCCTCTAGCGAGGAGGAGAAATTTTCGAAATCGGATGAGAATGAAATCAATCGAATGGCACGACAGCTCCCTAAAAGCATACMACGACAAAAGGCACACAATCTACTTCATAGCATGGTAGCATCCAAAGATATTTTGTATTGGAATTCCCATGGAGAAATGACTCATCATCAACGTAGAATTCCACTAGCCAACATGAAAGAATTAATCGAGTATGTTTTGCTACCTTACAACCCGGAAGTTA